CTGGTTGATGTTTGTGTATGAGCTCATAATCTTACTGGAGAATATTATCTGTGACGCCATCTTGTATGCAGACAACTTACTAATCATAGTGTCTGGAAAACACAGCAGCACTCTATCTGAGATTATGGTAGGACACCTTTGACGTATATTGGCGTGTCTCTTTATAAACCCGAAAGAAAGCTGTTGTTATTCCTTTTACACTGTTTTCTATATGTTTAAAAAACAGTAATATTCCTCTTTCTAATAAAGTAAAATACCTAGGAGTCATCCTTGATGGTAAACTCACGTGGAATACGCACTTAAATAAATTATACACCAAGCACTAAACGCTTTATGGGCAACGCGGTACTGTATAGGTAAAACTTGAAGTCTCGATCCAAAAATAATACTTTGTCAGGCAGTAGTACATCCTATCATGACATATGGTTGCCTAGTCTGGTGGCAAAATGTTACACAGGCTGGATCTATTACGGTTTGCTATCCTGAACAGTAACATCCGTAAATTGGTTGACGAACATCGCCTTAATAAATGGAAGGAACATTTAGATAACTGCGACTCCCAAAATGGTAAATTGTGGACTACCATTAAAGCATTATCTAATCCTTCACGTCCTAATAATAAAGCGATAACTTTTAATGGGATCACCTTCCCAGATCCCAAGCATTGCGCACAACAATTTTGTAAGCTTTTCGTGCCCAATGCCTCTGCTTCCCATGCTATTCGCAGACAGACTCGCGCTTTTCGGAAACCACATTCCGGCGACACCACGCTGTTTTTCCCTGATGATGTAAATAACGTGATCAGACACGCCAAAGCCTCAAAAGCGCTTGGGCCTGATGGCATTTCAATGCTCATGCTCAGGCACCTCGGGCCCATTGGCCTTTCAGTTCTGACACATATTTTGAACACCTCCATCTGTTCTCACATCATCCCTAATATATGGAAGACTGGTAGAATTATCCCATTGCTGAAACGGGGCAAACCGGCTGGCCTAGCTGAATCATATAGACTAATCTCACTCCTGTCTCCAGTAGCCAAAGTTCTGAAGTCGTTAGTCCTAAAACAGATTTCGCCTTATAATCACCTAGCTCCCCATCAGCATGGATTTAGAAAACGTCATAGTACCACCTCTGCTCTTTGTGAGATCACTTCTCAAATTACCAATGGACTTAATCAAAGTCGCCCTTGCGAACGCACGGTGCTGTTAGGTCTAGATCTTGCGAGAGCATTTGACACAGTCTCCCATTCCACCATGCTAAATGATCTGGCTGAAACATCTATCCCTGACATCATCAAACGATGGCTCTGCAATTACCCCATAGGCAGATCATCTTTTGTTGATTTTAGAGATAAGATGTCGAAAGCCAGAAAATTAAAACAAGGTGTTCCCCACGGCAGCGTTCTTTCACCGATCCTTTTCCTTTCCGTCCTTTTCGACGGATGATCGTTGCATCCGTCGATCACTTACCAACTTCAATAGTCATATCGAACAATATTGCAATGGAGCCTACATCAGTGAGGTCGAATACAAACGTGGACTTATAGCACTCCACACCGATGCAGTATCTTCTTCGAGACCTAGGTTGACCGCCAACAAGGTCTTCAATAGGCCTCCGCCTAATATTTCTCAGGATGAACGTAATCTTCCTCGTACGGCAAGAACTGTCCTATCTCAATTGAGATCAGGATATAGCCATGTGCTTTGCAGTTACTTGTCACGTATTAACACGTCCATTCCTAATGTGTGCCCAAACTGCAACTCCACGCCCCACGACGTCGCCCATTTGTTTTCTTGCCCCAACGCACACACAAATTTAAGTCCAATCGACCTTTGGACTCGTCCCCTTGAAGTAGCTAGGTTTCTTCGACTGGATCCTGGTTAGTTTCAAATTATTTCCACCCCTCCCTCTTCCCTCATCCCAACACTTACTCCCACCTTTTCCATTCCTTATCTCATGTATTCGTCTTGTAATCCTTTCATGTTATCTGCTTTCAGGTCCCGGCGGGTTACAACAACAACAACATTACGGTTTGCTCGAAGCTTCAAAGACTTGCGTGTTTCTTAATGACTGGTGCTATAAGGACTAGACCAACTGTAGCACTTGAGGCTATAATTGGGTTGACAACTCTACACATATATATTTAATCTGCGGCTGCGCTTAATGCGCTCCAATTAAAATTCCTTATAAGCAAGGTTTATCTTGACTAAATACCTCAGTGCGTTGGAAACTATATAGCAAAACTCCATTGGTTTGGTAGAAAATTTGATAGTAGGTACACCTACTATCACGCTCAACGTGAGTAAACGGAGGTCCGCAGGTTGACCCAAAACGTTTGGTTTGGTACACAGATGGATCAAAAATGAATGGAGACACGCACTGGTGCTGGTGTACCTATATGGGTCCAACACCATAATTTCGGAGGCAATGGGCACATAACCGAGCATCTTCCAAGTTGAAATTCACGCAATCAACTTATGAGTAAGATCGAATATTAGCAAAAAAACGTGGGGCACTTATTTAAATAAGTGTGCTGTCTATGCAACCAATTATGAATGGAAATATATTCATAGCTTCCATTTTTGCCGTATTAGACCACCTTATAAATTAATGTTCAATAGATATAAGATAAGCACAAGCTCTTTCAATTATTCTCGCAAAATTTCGCAAAAGGTGTTTGTATTTACCATATGGTACAAAAATATATATGAATATATGAATATTGTTGAAGTCAAAATTTTTTCCTAGAATCTTCATCGGGAAAGTCCCAATATTTCCATGCTGATGCACTTTATCCCCTTAGCTTAATACACTTGAACTAGAGTTTAAAAAGGGAATGGTAAAGTCAGTTTCACTATCGCTCAATGATTCTATAAAAATCTACAATTTTCAATTGTTTACTACAGAATTTTAATTGTTTTAAGTTAATAATAAACAAAAACCTACATTTAATATTTCAATCATTTCAGCAGATTTTATAATTTTTCTTTTAATGCCAAAATTATTCACATTAATCAAAACAAAATTCTGCAAATAAACACAGCTGATATGATTAATGCGTTGCCAATCATGTCACATGATCACTTTCACATGTCGACCGTATATTTTCAGCAAAGAAAATCCACACCATTGTTTGCTGAAACGCAGCTTTTTTTAAGTGAAGTTGATTTATTTCAGAAAGATTCAAAAAGTCGATGGCAAAAAGAAGTACGTACTAGTATTTAATAAAGTTTTTTTTTTCCATAAGTTAAATATGCAATAGATATCTAAAAAATTGATTTGAGATTTAATTGAATCTTTTTTTTTAATTTCAGACACAGCAAAGGAAGAGATGCCGAAACGCTTGGTCGGAAAGTCGCGAGAGGAATTATAGGAGGAAAGACTTTGACGATTACGGGTCGCCCGATTAAGCACACATATTTTTTATGAGATTTGTGATTCGAGATTTGATCATTTATACATTGAATCTGTTTATTTTTTAATACGTACATGTTAATTTCATACAATAAAAAGAGGTTGAATACTGTAATTTTACTAATTTTTTTTATTTATTTAATTTAATTAATTAACTTTAATTTAATTGTTTCTTTGTTTTATATCAGGAAAGACCAGCAGTGTATAGGAGTTTCAGGAGGAACGGTATTCGACTGAAAGTACTTCCACATGCTAAAAAGTAGTTTCACATTTTCCTAAAAAAGAAATGTTAATTTTAAATGATATTTAATAAACAAAATAAAGTTGCAATAACTTTTAAATTCCATAGATGTTTTTCATATTAGTAATTTTCCTAATAAAAGTTAAAGCGGATTTGCCGCAATACGTATAGAAATATACTAAAAATAACGTTGGAAATAAAAGCTAAACGTTCGTTCGTAAAAAAACAAAAGTTCTTTCATAGCTTTTTTGACATATAAAAGTTCTATCAACTGCATAAATGAGCTCATTATAATATGAACGTTTCTCATTAATATAAATGAGCAAGTGCCTAAATGAGACAGTGTGAATGTGCTATAAACATATGATTAGCAAGTAGTATCAAATTTTTATACTCCAACCCTAAAAGAGAGTAATATAATATTATCGTGGTATGATCACATGTATTCAATATGTATGTTAAAATGTTATAATAAATAAATTTTTCTTCAAAAAGTATTTTTTGATGAAATATATCAAAACCCGTTATTAAATCACGGCCTTTCTAAAATCCTTATCATGCCTAATATACATTAAGGCTTGTACCTGCTTATACCTTTAAACTTAATAAAATTTAATTCAAGATATATTCTAATATACGAAATATATTACTATATAAAACACAATAAATTCTTGTATGCTTGAATATGTAGCTATATAGTACCCTTTTTGTTTGTTTATAGCAACCCAGTTTCTTGTCAATTAAAATATCTCGTAACAGTGAACATTAAAATTCACGTAAGCCGTTACGTAGTTTCAGCACCGATTTTTTTTGCCCACGATATTGTACGATGGCAGCAATAAATAAATTAACAGTTTTGGTAGGAATATTCATATTTATTTGATTTAATATATATATATAATTCATGTAATATATGAGACACCAATTAAATTACGTTTCCGATAAGTGGTTTATTGCGAAGTGTGAAACATTTGGGTTATGTAATTGTGAAACAGTTAAAAGAAAATTTATAATAATTTCTATTATAATAGATAAAAATATATTATACATTCTCATTTTAGACTCGTAGTTTGAGTTCCACAACTCAAAAGGTCAAACTTCCCGTACAAGTATTTGGGTTGGAGGGTCGATATGCTACCGCACTCTATACGGCCGCTACTAAGTTGAATCAGCTTGAGCAAGTTGAAAAAGATTTGAGCGCCATTCAAGTAACACTTAAGAGTGATAAAAATTTTCGTGAACTAATGGCAAATCCTATTATTAACAAAAACGCAATGGCTACGGCACTAAAACAAACTGCTGAAAAAATGCGTATGGCTCCAGCAACTGGCAACTTGCTCGGTCTTTTGGCTGACAACAGACGACTTAAAAAGTTAGACACAGTTGCAAATGCCTTTAAAATAATAATGGCAGCACATCGGGGAGAAGTTGTGTGTGAAGTCGTTTCTGCCAAACCACTTGATGCCGGACAGAACAAGCAATTGGAGGGTGCCCTTAAAGTAAGATAGATAACGATTTTTTTAATTTAATTTACAACGTTCAATCTTCGTTTTTAGGCATTCTTGAAACCAAACCAAACTTTAAAAATAACTTCACGTGTAGACCCTGCTATTATTGGGGGGCTAATTGTATCAATTGGTGATAAGTATGTTGACATGAGCATTGCTGCCAAGGTTAAAACGTACACCGATATTATTTCTTCATCAGCTTAAGAAAACATAGTTCTGCAAATGGTACAGATTGGTTAAACTCATATTTGAATTATACTATAACTGTCGGTATACTAGAATTTTGAAAATTAATAAAGTTTAAATAAAAACAATAATTAAATTATAATTTTTGTTTATTTTTGCTTTTAAATAAAATAAGCAGGAATAAACTCCTTTCCAGCAAAAAATATTTTAATTGATTGTCTTTGATGTTTTGACTTCCGGTGAGGCTCTTGTTTCGATATCTATATGACGCAGTGCATCTACTTGCTTATATAAATCTTGATGGACTGTATTATATCGTTGTAAACTTATTTCCAATTGTCGTATTCGTATAGCTTGATCACGTATTATATTCAAAAGCTGTGAGCGATTCAAGTGTTCATATCCTGATATAGAGCTGCGACTAAATTCTTCAATAGAAATATCATGATCTGTGGATTCCTCACATTTAAGAGAGGCAGAACTGCATGATTTTCTTGTATTTATTATAGGCTGCTTTATTGATTCAGATATTTCTGCCACATCAATATGTTCTAATTCATCTAATACAGGTGTGATACCTGCAGACCAATCAGAGTCATTTAGTACTTCAACATCCGAATCTGTACCAGATATTGAACATGGTGGTTCATTGTATTCAAATTTTTCAAATAAAACCTCGGTAGATTCATCAAACGCACAACTACAACCATGTCGTGTAGGGACATTTAGAACCGTAAAACCATTTGTATCTATCGTTTGAAGATGAGTAGCATCACGTTTATTATCATAATGAGACTCATTAGTATCCAATATACAGATGTCTGTATTATTTGTACTTGCACTGTTGTAACTTTGCTGCATTTTGTTTCCTGAAGTAATATCTGGTGATAGGAGCTTGAAACTATTGCAAGAAATTATTTCAATGCTTTCGCCATTTTTAACTTGTGGCAAATCATCATTAGCACGTACATTTATGCTTATCGGTGTAATATTCTGTAGTTGCCGCTCTTCTGGAATCATATTAACAATTATTGAAGATTTATTAAAAATGCTTGTCTTCGCTCTCGTTTTTTATTCATACTACATTACTGTATTAATATCACATAGATTGTTGTTTAAAGTCTTATTGAACTCTGATACATATATGCAAATAAATTTACATATATTAAATGTTTGTTTTTATATTAGGTGTACCATTTCACTCCTCTTTCAAATGTTATATTTTTACAAAATTTGCGATAAAATCAAGCCAATTAAAAACAAAACAATATGTTATCGTTAGTGCTACCAGACTTACTAAATTTAACACATTTCTTTACAAAATATTTACGTATTTACTGCAGATATATATAATTATAGAATTACGTTGATTGTAGTTATTAAATATATACTAGACGCAATCTTTTAATAGCATATTGCAAAAATGTACATTATTTAAGAAAAGACATAAAATATAAAGAAATTGTAAAGCATTGGAACATTAAGTCTGTTCCACGAGTTACTCGTAGTAACACTGTAAATACACAAGTGCGTTCCACCAGCAAATTTTCGAGTAAATGAGAGCATCTGAAAGAGCATAACATCCCTGTCGAAATTTGAAAATACTACACAGACTTTACTTTCAAGCAAAGAATATCTGTGTAAGAAAAGAAACTCTTTGCTCTCTGAGAATAACGTAAGAAATTTTTCAGAAAATTCATTTTTTATAACATTTTGGTCACACGTATTCAATGGATGTTATTTTACCAAGCTTATGTCAAATTGCATACATTTCACAAAAGGATTATTACTATTTTTCATTTTAGTACATTAAATATGTTTAGTAATATTCATGAGGAAAACTGGTTAAAATAAAGCTTATGTTTATCTATAAATTAAATCTGTTCATAAAATTATATAAATCTATAATTTACAATAAAATATGTTTAATAGATTCGAGTACATTAAAAGCAGTTTGTAAATTTATAAGTAATAAAAAAACCATTTGAGGCAATAACTATATTTTATAATATATTTTATTATAATGCATCTTTAGTTTTGTGTTATTGTTCTGTTTTAATTGCTAAATATACAAAAATTAAATTGAATAAAATAAAATTTGGTAAAATAATTCCATTATTTAAATAATTTGCACAGAGTATCACCGTTCACAAAAAGAATTAATATAGAAAAAGTAAATGTTTATATGTTTACTGTTTTGTTAAATATTTTTTTAATTTCATTTCAAATAATTTTTGAATAAATAAATGTAATAAAAAATTTTGTTTACACTTTTTAATTAAAAATATTTCGAAAAATTTTCTACTAATTTTATTTAGCACATCGAAATACGAAGTGTGGTGAAAGGGGTTTTATAATTGATTGCAGTGAGTTTTTAGTCAGTATTGGCAGATAAGTTGACGTCAATTTTTTTTTAAAATAATTTGAACTAAACAAAGTAAAAAAATTTCTGTGCTCGAAATAAAGGGAATTAATTATAAAAGTTGTTCGTAATTTAAATCACTTAAGTTAAACAATATTGACTCTTAAATTGTATGTATGCTGGTTTGCCCTTTAAAAAAGTTTCCCTGTATGTAGAAATGGCCCACAATGTTACAGTTTTATAATTCATCATTATTAATGCAAATTTATTTAAAAATAAAACATTTGCTTAACTTTTTAACATACATATTTATTAAAGGCATTTGTTTGAAACAATATATTGTATTTGCGTACATAATAGTATAATATTTATATAACATAAATTGAGTCTTTTTTAAATAATAAACTAAAAATATGTTGAATGTATTATTAAAATCTGAGACTAGATAATTATACTGGCTAATTATAAATATTATATAGTATCTTTACATATAAAAAATTAACATTTAATAACGAAATTAGAAAGAAAATTATAGCATTTTCTTAATAAAAAAAAAATATGATATAGTTCTTAATTTTGCGAAATATTCTTATAATAATAACATTATTTAAATTATGTAAATTTTTATTTAGAAAAGGCAAGTTAATGTGTATGTAGTTAATTAAACCTAAAGGCTATCGCATTTATAGATATATTTCCTTATATATTTATAACTATTCAAAAAAATTTCTATATCTAACATCGTAATTTAAATTTGTGCACATTTGAAAGAGTACAAAGAAAATGCAAAAATGCAAAATGTACTAAGAAAGTACAAGAAAATATATTTTTGCTTTACTGATGTGTATTTATACACACAAAAACAAACAAATCATATTAAACATAAAACATATATTTTAAATTCACAATTAATAAATTATTTTTTTTAACTTCTTTCGTTATTTTTAGGAAATTCATACATTCCCTTTACGCAATTCCACCTTACATCCCATTACGCAATTCCACACCATCTTCAAATATTAGTAACTGAAATAATAATTGTAATTAATAAATGTAATTATTTTTTCACTTAAAAAAAAGGAACTTAATCACTACTTTTTACAACTTCATTTCATTTGACTACGTTTCTGTTCTTCGCGCGCATTTCTTCTGTCAAAAAATGAAAACAATATCCAATTTGCGCTCTTCATATCGTTCTTCCGTAGTAAAAAAATTGAAGACCGTTCGTGGTGGTGAAACGTTCCGTTCGATGTGGTGAATTTACAGCAACAGAACAACATGCTTGGTCTGGTAGTAGTAAATTATTTTGAGAGTGTGTTGGTTGGTTTATTTTGTTTACATTTAAGTTGCAGAGTTCGTGTACAAGTATTCTTTGATTTCAAGTAAAACTTGTGTTGATGTGTGAATCAACTGTTTTGGTTTGAATTTAAATTTTGGTATTGTTAATTTGTGCGACACTGGTGTTCTCACTTGACTTTACACAAAGCTATTCCATGAAAATCTGTGTAAAGAGCGTAACATAATTTGGCAATTTATTTGTGTAACGCTCTCAGTTTATATTTTAGTTGTGTTTTACTCGAGTTTTACTACGAGTAGCTCGTGGAATTGACTTATATTATGATTTAAAATTTAAACGCAGCTACCGCTTAACAATACACAATGCAGGTTGCTAAAGGTGTAAAGCTATGTTTTGTGAATGATTTTTAGAAATACATGAATTGTCCTAGCCTAGTGCCTAGAATTCCTTTTCGACTTTTATTAGTCGTATTGGTTTTGTATCGTCCAGGAAACCGCATTCACTTGTCTGATGCTTGTGTTTCATTGTGTTTGTGTTTCATAGAATCATGTCAAATCGCTAGTAATTCTACATTGGATTCAATGAACGTTGGATTGGATTAAACTGAAGAAATCATATTTTTGAAGATTTCAATGTAGTCCCTTTGTGTTTTCTCCAATTTTCTGTCATCGTTGGATTGGATCAAACTGAAGAAATCATATATTTGAAGATTTCAATGTAGTCCCTTTGTGTTTTCTCCAATTTTCTGTCAATCTCCTTCGACTGCTTTCGTCATCCTTAACAATTTCACGACCACTATTAAAGCGTTTATGCTACATATAAACATTCATTTTAATTTAATATATATATATATATATATATATATAATATATATATACTTTTATTAAATAAAGTTAGACTTGACATAACAACTAAATATTAGTCAAAAAATAGTTTCTTCAATTGCAACATATAATAAAAACAAATATTTTCGTCTCGTTGCGAAAAATAAACGCCCGCGTTGCGCCAGTATTTTATTAAAAAAAATTAAATATAATCTTTAATATAATATATATGTAATATATCACAATCTTTTGTGCGAATGGTAGCTATGATGCTCTTTAAGAAATTTTTTCTTCACTACTGATCATATCACAGATTTTTAAAAAATGAGCATCCTATATTTTTAGAAGATAGATCTTTTCGGGTTTGTGATTAAAAGTTTTTCTTTCCAGATCAATATCTGCATTTACTGGATTCAAGATATCAAGCCAACAATTTCATCGAACATTGACAAAAAAGACAAAAAAAAACGAATTTTTTGAAAAAAGGTTTACGTAACATTTTCCTTTTATATTATTGTGACCATGAATTGACGATATTACGAACGAGAACCGGTACAATGTTTTTACTCTTACAAATTTTATATAATTTTATATAAAACTTGCATATACATATATGTACACATATATCAGAAATGTTATAGTTCTCCCCATTAAAGTCAGCTTTTTGTAAGTCGCAGTTCCCTCGTCTTAAAAAATTAATAAAATCAAGATCGAACAACCCTCATTTTATATGGCAGTCGTCTTCTGCCATATCAGAATATTCGCGCATATTTCGATCTTCTGACATATGTATATCTATAAGAAATATGGTTTATTTTTTGCATTTTGTTCCTGAATGCCTTTAGGATTTTGCTTCTGAGAGAATGAATTCTGCTGCACAAAATTTACTATGTACGTTATAGATGTTAACTAATATTTCTAACATTATTACTGCAATTTGTAATTTCGTTTTCTATTGGGTTGAACCAACCACCTTTATGACGCTCCATACAATATGCAACTGACTTCAATTTTAATATAAAACAAATTGAAGTTTTTCTTCTGCAAATATCTGAAGAAGTGACTGTAGTTGCAGTAGTGTAAGTTATAAAGCTGTCCTAGATGCTTCCGAAAAATTTCTTCAAAAAATATATTAATTTATTGTTATTTGTTTGTTTGTATAATTTGACGTCTTAAATGCTTGTAAAATAATTGAGGTTAATTTAAAAACGATATGGTGAAAAAAACTCCATTTTTGTTTCTATTTTGCAGAATAATCCAACAAAGCAAGGTAACTATAAAAAAGCGTTTCGGCTAAGAAATTGTTCATGGTAACAATTACACCAATAAATGCAACATACGTCTGTTTATCATTAAAAAGATTTTTCATTACTCTAATAGCCAAGAATTTTTCATGTTTGGCGCCAGTTATGAATCTTATTCCTTTATAGCATATTATCTTTTCAACACTGGGTCCCAGTTGCCATCTAATATGTCTGGCACTCATATTTCGCACGAGTTCCATTAGTTGATAGAAACAGCTTAACGAAGTTACATATATTACATATATTACGTACTTGCAACTTTTGTATCACACATTCTTTTCTGCAATGATGCCAAGTTGAACTTTTTCAACGACTTGTAAACTCTAAACAATCGCTATTATTGGCATTGTGTTCAAAACAAACTTTGTTGTTGATGGTGCCATTTAAGCGAAACATGATCATAAAGTCTGTAAATACGCTTAGTCATATAAAATCAAATACAAGTGAAACGACTTGAAGCAGTAACGATAACATTTGAATAATATAATATAGTACTCTGTGCCTCGATAATTGTTTTCACTTCGTTTAGCGAATTATTTATCTTCATAAAAAAGCGGCAGTTGGTGATAAAGATTTCGTGCTTTCGCAGATGCATTAAGACCGTGACACAAATAGGCCACTTGTATAACTAAGAACATTAGAAACAAAAATATATATATATTATTATATTGAATGGAGGTTTTGAATAACAGTGATGTTGAGAATAGTTTTAAAGACATTACCAGTGACATTAACAGAGGCGATGGAGAAAAGTATCTTGCTATGACAATACTTGGTTTTGGTAGTTTTATCACAGGAATGCTTCCCGCTTTAATTTCGGAACGTAATCGCAGAAGGTTTCCTCTATCAACATCAGTACTACTTTGTTTTGGTGCAGGCATATTGTTGGCAACAGCTTTAGTACATATTTTGCCAGAGGTAAAATTGATTTCTCCCATTTAAAATGTAAATATAATTTATATTTTTACAGGTTCGAAAACAAATGTCTTCAAATTATGCGGAAATATCGTTGTGTGCTGGGTTTTTTATAATATATTTTATTGACGAATTCATACATTATTTTTTTGGAGATCCTGGTCACCATATTACTCCGATTTCTACAACTGCAGAGGGAAACACAAACCCAAACACAAATCGTAATTACGGTACTGTTAACACCGAGAGGGAACATTTGTTAGCAACAACAAGTAACGACAATATTTCGTAATACAAATCAATTTATTCAAGTTATTCATTTATGTATATTTCAAAATGTTATTCTTTTTAAATAGCCAACAGACTTTGTGTACTCATAATATTAACATTCATGGGTCACATAATCATACAAATCGAATTAATATGGAACAACAAGGCAATCATTCGCACAGACATAGTCATGGTCATGGGCATGGTCACTCAAATACTAACATTGACTCAGTTGATAATGAGCATCTGTGTTATATAATACATGCAGAGCCATGCGTACAACAAACCTTAAGCGGTACTTTGGGACTTTTCGTTGCTCTTTCAATGCATTCAGCAATAGAAGGTTTAGCGATTGGTGTGCAAAACTCAGCATCAAAGGTAACATATAATATCTCACATATTCGTTAATACTTAATCAAATAGAAGATAATAATGTGTAGATGGTTTTATCATTTTATGTGAAAATAAGAACTTATCTATAATCGCCTTACACTTGATATACTTTTGGATAATGTATTGATAACAAAATATTGTTCAAAATAAAAATGGAAAATTGTAAGAATTACATAAAATAGAAAATCTTGGCAAGTCTATAAATCTGATTACGTGAAATTAAGTATAACGACATTTCAATTATATATTATTAATTAATAAAGATAACTTTATCTACTAGTATATATGTTTACAACATTAATTCTTATTTATTGATATTTATATAAATAATGCCGGGAAAATATTAAATCTATAAAAATGTTAACTCTTGTTTTTCGAAAACACTTTTAAATAAATATCGTGTTACCATAAAACGAAAATATAAAATAGCATTTAACGATATAAATATATAAATATAATAAATAAACAATATATAAATATAAATCAATAAATAGCAATAACGAAATAGCATAAAAAAATAACCATTTGGAAAGCATATAGCTCGAAACTAATTCCTTGAATATATAATTCCTTGAATTTTTTATAAAAAAATTATAAAAAGTAAAATATTAAAAAAGTATAAAAAAAAATCATTTCATTTTTTTTTAAATGAAATTTTTAACAAATGATTATATTTATTTATAGGTTTTATTTTTATTAGGCGCTGTGGCTTGTCATAAATTCGTAATGGGATTCTGTTTGGGATTAGAATTTCGAACAAGTACAAGTACACAAACAAACTTACGTACTCAATTCATTGGTATATTGGTTTTTGCGTTGGGAGCAGTTTGTGGTATTGGAATTGGTATGATCATTGTTGATATACCAACTAAATGGGCGACAACAACATTACCAATTATTCAGGCATTAGCCGGTGGGACACTACTTTATGTTACTGTTTGTGAGGTATCTAAATGTAATTTATGCATTCAATTGAATATAATATATATTGCAATTTTAATAAAAGGTTATACCGCGTGAAAAAGCTCGATGGCATCAAAATTCGCGTAGAATTGCTGGATTTTCACAATTTTTAGCAGTATGTTGCGGTTTTGTAGCTATGACATTGATTAATTTTTATGTCGGAGGTAAGATATTTAATTATTTAAATAATATAATGTCATCTTAATAATGGTACAATTTTTTTTTAACAGACAATGATGCTTAATTTTTTAGCTTTATAATACTTTTTATATGATATTAATTATGTTTCTCAATAGTTAATATTTATCAGTGTATATATACAAGTATATGTTATATAATGATCGTTTTAAGTTATAGTTGTTTTATGTAATGAATTACCACATTGTTGACTTTATATAACAATAAAAATTTTAAAACATTTGTCTAAATATAATAAACCACTTGTAATTTGATTGTATTAGCACTGGTAGAACTACATAATTACCTTTGTATGCAAGTGTTTATATCGTATATCTATAATTTTATTGAACTATTAGTTTAATTACTAAATGTAAGTTAATTGGATTTTTTTCGAATTATGGATGTTTGATGATTATGTTTATTACAGTACATTTACAAAATCCGTGTGACTTATGTAAGATAGAAATGATAAATAATTTATATAAAATACTAATGACATAACACAAAGTAATTTCAAAACTAACAAAAAAGAACACATCGTTCTAAAAGACTTCTATTATTCAGCTATCATTTTTGGGGTAATATTAACATTACTATTTGCAAACGTTACTAATAACAATAATAAAAAGATAGACGATTCTAACATAGCAAAAGTACTGACTTTTAAAAAAGTGTTTTCTGAACCCGAAGCAAGTCACTAAGCAAACAGTTTGCCGATTTGACTATGTTTCAGATTGTTTCAAAACTATTAAGTATAAATGGTTTTTTCGCTATTTTTGACATTTATTCGGGAAAAATACTAGCTAATAGAATTAATTTTTGTTCATAATAAAAAATATTTAAAATTAACTTAAATAAAAATTTACTAATTAATTAAAGTTTAATATAAGATAGTCATTTATATAAATTTTTATTAAGAATATCAAATTTCTAGCAAATATTTTTAATAATTATTGATCTAGATTTCAGTAATTTGTAAGTTAAACAAATTAATATATGCAAGAAATGACATGTATGTATGTATATGCAATATGCAGATACTACATCAAAAACTCTTGAACATTTTAGTTTTCTAAACTAAATATTGGAAAATATTTATCTTTAGTCTGTGTGATTTGCAACTTTAAATTTATCATATATATACAGTTGTAACTACGATATTAAAATGAAAGGCATTACAGCTTCATTTAATATTTATAATTTATTTTTTTATAGATTTTCTAAGAACTTTTGAAGACATTCAATTAAATGGCGTAGAACGACACTAATTCATCATTCTTATATCAAATTAAAAATTAATCGATTTTTAAATTATTTAACATTGATCATATTTCATGAACAAAAGTCCTCAATAACTATTACCAAAAAGGGTAACAAAAAATTTAATTTTCTTTTCCAAAAACAATATATATAACATATACTATTTTCAATAGTTTATATATTATCTATCAAAGTGATTTTTTGACTATACCATTTTTTTCAATAAGCATAATATAACATATAAATAAAATATGATAAATTCAGTATCTGTCATTAAAAACTTATTTAGATCAAATGAGCACATATTTATACTTTCAAATATAAATTATAGTCAAGGAAAAATTAGCAAAAGGGAAACGTGTTTAAACAGTTTCGTGTCAGTAAAAAACACATATTTTTGATTATTTTTAATATAAACTATTGATTAAATCTTGAAGTTTATATTTTAGATATTTCAACTGTAATTTTTTAAAATATACTTCAGAATTATAAAAATAATATATAAATTCTATATTAATTTATCCATTCATTTATAGTAGTAATCAAATTTATTTATGCGACATATATTACAAGAATGGCATAAATAAGCAACGAATATTAAATATTATTTATATAAAGTTATATATATATATATATATATATATTATATATGATGCTATATGTCGCATATATTTTTTATAGTTAAAATCATAAAACCTAGCAATGAAAAATATTACACGTAAAATAATAAACTACGTACTAAAATTGTGTTTATAACTTCTTTGTGGAGTCACCGTCACCATCACCATCACCATCACCATCACCATCACCATCACCATCACCATCACCATCACCATCACCATCACCATCACCATCCCCATCCTCATCTTCGCCCCATTCTTTTATTAAATTTTTTACGTTATCCTCAGATTTTTCTTTATTTTTCTCAATATTTTTGATTTTCTCATCTGTTGATGAAGTCTTTGTAGCAGTTTCTTCCTCAATTGAACTCTTTGCTTCAGATGGTTCTACTTTAATATTAGCTGCTTCGCATTCTACTTTCTCCGAATGTTTATCATCCTTTTCAGCACCTGTTGCTTGCGTTAGTAATTCATCAATTATTTGTACACCTGAAGCAATAGGAGAATCTGTGAATTCGTTATCTGCTTCGTCATTACCTAATTCTATTTCTTTTTCTGAACAATTTTGAAATTCATCAACTTTTTCAAAATCTGGTTCGATATCATCCTCAGATCGCAATACGTTTTCACCAGAATCTACTTCCTCAGTAATATCAGTTTTTTCTTCACTTTTGATTTCTTTATCATTTTCCACTTCAAATTTATTTCCATCATTTGCGTCTTCATTTTCTTCAACAACTTTTTCCTCTTCAACACATTCGGATGTAATACTTTCATTTGCATCGTCACTGTGCAAATTTTTCATAGCCAATTCAATATCATCGTCTTCTAATTTAACATCATTTTCTGACTTTACTTCAGCCGTACTATCTTTTTCTACTGCTTTTTCAGATAACAACTTATCATCGCAAGATTTTTCACTTGCAGAAACATCAATTTTTACTATTTTTTCAGTTGAATTATCGAATTCGGATTGAGACTCTGCTGCAGCAATCTCTTCTTCATCGTTTTCATCTTCTGACCAATCACCAGTAAGCTCCTTCAATTTCTTGCTAATATCGTCATCTGATTTATTATTTTTCTAAAAAATGGAGTATAAATATTTTTTAAAAGTTATATAATTATATGGTAAGTTTTTACCTCATTATTTTTATTGTCTGTTACTTCCTCTGCTAATTCATGTTCTGAAATTAAGTTTTCCGCCCATTCTAGATTTTCAATTGATTCCTTGCTCTCATCTAGATTATTTGAAGAATTTCTTTTTATTTCTACTTCATCTTCTAATGGTGTTGCTGGCGAGCTAACACTCTGAGATCTCATTTCATTATAAATTTCACTATCGTCGTATTCGTCTTCTATTGACTCAATTTCAGCTTTTGGACTAGTATTGTCTTTTACTGGAATTGTTACAATATTTAAGCCTTCCGATATAGATCCTCTTTTACAACCTGTCTGACCCTTAACAATTAAAGCATTTTTATTTTTTTCCTGATTAAGTTGCGTTAAGATCTCTTTTCGTTGCTCTCTAGTTAATATCAATTCGCTGCCATCAGAAGCCACAAATTTGTGATCTACACTAGTAGCAATATTTTCTGAAGTTGATATGAGTTTGGAACCTATTGATGGTTTGTTTTTTAATGTTTTTTGCACATCTGTTGTGGAGTCCAATTTTAATAGTGTACCTGCGCTAGGTAAACTTATGTCAGAAATAATTTTAACTTTTGAACTGCCACTTTCCATTAATTGCTGGGATGATTCTTGCTCGGTATCTTTTAAAATATTTACTAACTCTTCATCAGAGTAATCAATAATACCATCATCAAGAGCCTGTTTTTTGTGATTAGTTTTCATGTGTGTATATAATTGCAATTCTTTAGCAAATATTTTATTGCAATATATACATTGCTGCTTATTTTCTTCATTATGATTTTCAATCATATGCTGATGCAATGCATCAGTATCTATAAATATTTCAGCGCACATACTACATTCCGGAAATTTGTAAATTGATGAATTTAAATTATGTTCCACTTGAATATGTAAATGTAATTCTTTCTCATGGGTAGAACGCCATCCACAATGCTCACATAACGCAGGATCAATTGATTCCTTATGGGTGTTTATCAAATGTCTACGGAATCCGCGATAAGAAGGAATACTTATAGGACGACCACTAACACCGCATCTCAAACAAAGCCACGGTCCTATAAATTTCAAAAAATTTAATAGTATTTTACACAAATATAAATAGTAATAGTAATCTTATATATTCATACCAGTTGTGTTTTCTGCTCCTAAAGCAAGCAATGCATGCATTGTTTTACTATCGATTCGACGTTTTTGCATACCAGAAACACTATTTGTTGTTTCTGTTTGCGCGGACGTTGATGTACGTTCACCAAAATCTTTCTTTTGCTGAGAAACGACGTTGTTTGGCGTTTGCTTAATTATTTTTGTTTCTTTCGTATTTCCTTGACTTGCAATTATTTGGGTTTTTTGCTGTTGTTGCTGTGGATTATCCCCATCAGGAATGTTATCAATTTGTTCTTTTTTGATAATAACTTTTTGGAACCCACTAGGACCAGTTACAATTTTTAATTTTATACTCTTGTTTGATTTTGCCAAATGCGGAAACTGACGCATTACTTCTGATATAATTTTGGTTGTATTTAATTTATTACCAGAATTTTCTTTAACCACAATAGTTGGAATCTTGTCTCCATTATCTGTTTTAAAAGTATATGATGGTAATTCTTGCGTTTTTATAGCTGTTGTGGAAGAAGGAGTTGTATTTACTGCATCATCGTCGTCGTCATCGTTATGAATATCATCATCCATCATACCTTCATATTCATCATCACCAGCATACTCCGCGGCAATTTGTTTACGCATGCGCTGTTGTTCCGCAAATTCTTTTACATCTTCAATGTTTGGTTTTTTAGCAGGTGGAGATATGAAGCTTACAGAGCTTGCTCTTTTAGTGCTAACTCCTTTTCGTAGTTGTTCAAACGGCGAAGGTGGTTGTTGTGGTGGATTCGATAGATCATCTTCAATTTCACGTTTGATGTCATGTCCAATATGTATTTTTGTAGGTGAAGTTGAAAGAGTTGGTGTTCTAAGTAAAGTCGCGTTACCGCTCTGTTGGCGATATTGTGCGTTTTGTGCCTGTGGTGTACTTGTTGCAATAGTTCTTGGCTGTGCAACACGCCTTGATTGTAGTGTTGATGTATTGTTAGCGTTTACACGTTTTTGTGGTGGAGCAGCAATCTGTTGGTTGTTCACTGGTGTTCCACGACGACGAATGGATTTCGGACTTGGTGGCTAATGCAAATCGAACGAATCAAATGTTATAAAATTTTTATAATTTGCACTTACACTTACACTTACCCTTTGTGCACGATTTACACCTTCCATAGTACGTCGATGCGCTTCCAAAAGTTTAAGTAGCACCGTCATATTCATTTCTTTTGCTGTACGTAATAATTTTCCATACATCTTCAACTCAAACTCTAACGTTCCTGTGTACATAAAGTTCACAATAGGGACTACTACATCGGCTTGCAGTTCCAGGGGCATTATGAGCGCATCATCTATGACTTCGCACGTTTGTTCAAGAACATTAAAGTAGTCTGTGCAAGCGCTTAATACTAAACGATGTACTTTCAGTTGCGAGTTGTCGCGAAATTGTAATGTTAAGTCGCAGTAGTCAGTTTTATTAAAAAAGTTTTGGAGTTTCTGAAGGAAGAAAACTCCCCAATTGTCCACTTTAACAGACTTTATTTCACCCATTTTATGGGTTATATATGAAAATAAATTTCACGATATACAATTTACAACTTTCCAAGTGTTAACTGTACTCCAGTTGATCACTTTATATTAAAACACAAAAAAATAAATAAATAAATTTATTAGTAAAAATTTTCTTAATAGAAGAGTGCAGTAATAAAATAAGCGCTCTGTGAAATAAGCTTTCTTAAACTTTTATATATGAAAGCTAAGATCCGACCCTCCGCGTTGCATTTGAACTGAACTATGCTAAACTAGGATATAAATTTTTTGCACTGACACGTACCGTACAAAAAGTTCAATAAAAGCGCGTAAACTTTGTTTATAAAATTAAAAAAACAAAACATCAATTATCCATCGGTTTAAACAAAATTATTTTATTTAACTTTTTATTTAGTTATTTAATATATGTTTTTAAATGCAACCCAACGTGTTGCCGCGTCAACTTAAATATTTTTAATTAAAACTCTTTGATCACAAATTTCACACACGATTATTCACATAATAAATTTTATTAATAATAAAGCTTACATACGTTGATAAGATGCCAATTGAAAATTAATTATTTTTTGGTGAAATTGAAAAACACAAACTCTCTCAATACGAGCCCAACAACAATGAACGTAGGTAAACTAATATTTCCCATTCATTTGTAAATTTCCCAAAATGGGCGCCATATAAATATGGCGTCCCATTTGATGAATAAAATTTCCCTAAATATTATTTGAAAATAAAAATGTTTGATTTTTATTTAATTTTACTAACTGATATAGGGCGCTATTATTATATGTGCCAACATACAAAAACACTAAATATTCAAAAAGAGTTAGCTATAAAGTAAAAGATTTAATTATCTTAAAACAATTCAAAATAATAAAACAGTATAATTTGAGAAAATTCTTTAAGTGTTTTGATCTTAAGCCTACGTCCAATATATAGACAATTATTATAGAAACAAATTAATTATAATAAATTACTTATTTTAATTTATTAATTATATGTATGTTATATAAATTTATAGTTAAATAAAATTATATGTATTTAATAACATATAATTAATATCTATCATAGGTCTATATCTATCATTGACACATTAAAAATATAAAATTTATTTAACTTAAATATTTAAGATGTGGACATTTTAGTCGAATGTATTCTACCAAATTTATTTTAAAAAGTTGAAAATTAATTAATTTGTTTGATTTTGGTTACAACGTATGTCTGCCAGTGTTGTTGATATCAGAAAAATTACGTTGAAGACAAATATTTATAATATTTAGAGAAAAACACTACTTGATACACACAAAATAAATTACCTTTTTTACCGCATGTGTTAGTGGATTAGCTAACCAACTTTTCATAATGAAAATACTTTACAATAAAAATGTTTCTCACAAAGCTTATATATTTCGTTAAAATAAAAGCTTTTAAGCTTTGGGTGTGTATACTGTTGACTTGCACAAAAAGCTTTGGTCTAAAAATAAAGTGCTTTCAATCAATAAAAGTACAGTTTCGACATCAAAAGTTTTAATATTTTACATTAGTCACAACTTTTGTTTTGTGGGTAAGCTTTTTATTATGCAACCTCAATGTAAAAACATATGCATTATTTCTAATTAGTTTTAATTAAAAATTTTATTTGTAATACACATGTTTCACACATCCCACATGTTTAAAAAGAAACAGTTCATTTTGTTAAAAGAGCTTATCTGATATATAAAATTTAGTTAATATTTTATATGTGTTTAAACGTATGTAGTATTTTTTGGCTTTGCACGCTTTCATTTCTCATATTTCGTTTGTAAAACATCAATTTACAACACTATTTTTTTAATTCTCGTGTGTCCTACTTTTCATCGTTTGCTTTTAATTTTTGTTGTTAGTATTCTTTTTTAAATAAACATTAGAAATGTCATTTTCTGCTAAAGTAAATTATTTTTTTAAACAAAAATCTGTTAAGTACGGAATACCTTTTTTACTATGTATAGTTGGCGGATCATTTGGACTTCAGGAATTTGCAAAATTGAGGTTGTATCTAAGACAATTTGTAATTATAACCTTTATACAATCTATACATTTATACACTTATACAACAGGTACCAATTCTCAAAAACAAAACAGGTAACACCCGAAGACATGAAAAAATATGGAGTTACTATGAAAAAATCTGAAGAAGTGACCTTAGAAAATGAGTTTGAAAAAATACAAACTATTAATATTGATGAATGGGAAAATAAACGTGGACCTAGACCGTGGGAGGAAAATGATTTAGCGAAGTAAAACTCGGCAACTTAAATCATATTTTATTCTTTTTACATATATGTGGAAGTAAAATATTCGTATGTTTAGGTTCAGATAAAATTATTTTGTAAATTTGGCTGTGAAGTATGCTTTGTACATAATTAGTAAATAAAAAAATTTTCTTTAATTTTCTTAAACAGCATTAAAGTCATTTGAGCCTCCTGATTTCTCTTCTGTTTAATTATAATAGTATTTAGTTTAAAAGCAGGTAATATAAAAATGTTTACTTTTTTATTTATTTGAAAGACATTTCATTTTTACACACAAACATGAGTATTAGTTACAATGTGGAAGTTATATATTTCATACATATATACGTAGACCACACCAATGTGATAGACAAAAAAAAATATTGCGATTATTTTAAAATAATAGAATATGTATTACATGCCAATATTTAAACTGTTTAAATTTAAGCAGCGTATCATAGATAAATGTGAACTTTGTATAAAAAAGTTTTCGTGATTGAATTTAATATGCTTTGGAACTGCTTTAAATAATTTTCTGTGCATGGTAGGTCTGCTGGTTATTTTTGGCAGTGATATTTTTTATTTATTTTGATTCAAATGTTTCAATTAACAATTATTTCAAATTTCTTTAAGCATAATAATAACAACTGAAACAACTGATTTAAGCCATGAAAATTTAAACATGCCGTTTAGGCAACTGCTTATTCAAATTTTTGCAAATTTATGTTGTATTTATTAATCGATTTCACAAGTACTTTAACTCTGCATTTACAAATCCTAAAAGTTATTAGAATATTTTCATATTGAATTTTATAAAAGATGACAAATATTGCCGCCAATTTGTAGAGTTAGAATTCTTGGGGCAATGTTAATGAAATGCAAATATATTGATGAATCTTAAGTGGCCCTTAGACATCAACGCGCGTTGACAAACACACGAAGTCTTCTCTCTCCATTACATATTAAATTTACCAACAATTTTTTAAACACGCCTCCAGTAAACAATGCAAAATTTGTTCACTCATCAGTATTAAAGCAATCGCTGAAGTGTCAACAGCGGCTGCTATGCGTAATTTCCTTACGAAAAATAATGTTTTACATTTAATTTACAATATTAATTTATATATTTATATTTATTTTTATGATTTCAATTTATATATTTATTTTTATATATATTATATTTTATATAATTTAATTTTTTTTTTTTGGTATATTTTAATAACAAATTTTCCGTAAATGCACAATGCAATTAATATTTAAAACAAAATTTTCATTGTAACTTAATGTTTAGTTATTTTTTTTTAGCCCAAGGTTATTAATATTTTAATCTTCTTAATAACATGTTTTGGAAATTAAAAAATTTTACCTATTTAGAAAATACAAATATTTAAAATAAAAGATACAATTCATTCATATTTGCAAAGGATCGCTTGCTAACGACGAATCATGCGTGCATTTAAACGATGTTTACGCTTCTACTCCTCAAAATAAATTAAATTTTGCATGCCGACCAAATCCGACTGTACATGCAAAAACACGAGCGTGGTTGAAGAAATATCAAAATTTTTTGATTTTCGTCAACACATTTCTTAAAATTTCAAATGTTACTATTACACAAACAAATTTCGCATTTCACAAAGTAGGAGAAAAGTAGGAGAAAAAATTCTCATGTGAGAGCGATTTTTTAGTATATTTGTTGTTTTATCTGAGGCGTGTTTAAAAAATTTTTAAAAAATTGTTTGTGTAATGGCAAGCGCGCGTTGACAACGAGCGTTGATGTCTAATGGGCCCTTTAAGGTAGT